ATTTCTTGCGGAGGAAGGAGATAAAGCAAGAAAAATGCATTCTTTGAGCCTCAGAGTTTTTACTGATTTCACCGGCTCTTCGGCGGCGAGGTCTTCGCCGTGTCGTGGTGGCTATGGCGGTTTGACTTTGGGGGAATTTAATGGCAAGGCTTGTAGAATTCTAGCCTGCGCTCCGGAGAGGAACGGCAATGGCGGAGGTCGGAGTCGGAGTTCGAGTTCGAATACGAGTACGACTCCGAGCTCGTTTTTGTCTCGGAGCCAAACTTACGCTCTGTTGAAGCAGCAAATGGAAGTTGCTGCGAAATCTGAGGTCAGTGTTTTTCTTTTCTTCCCCTCTCTCTCTGGACTACCAATTTGGGGAGAGATTTTTTGCTCAAAAAAAAAAAAAAGGGGAGAGATTTCTGATTTTTTTCCTTCGGATTCTCGGTAAACAATCGGAGGCTTATCGCTTTGGGTTTTGTTGGGTTGTACGTAGGATTATGAAGAGGCTGCGAGGATTCGCGACTCGTTGAAGTTATTCGAAGAGGAAGAGCCGGTTTTGCGGCTACGGAGGCTGATAAAGGAGGCGGTTGCTGAAGAGAGGTTCGAGGTAAATCACTCGCAGCTTTCTCGCTTTGCAAGGTTTTTCGTTTACTAGAAAAGTCAAGTCTTGAGTAATGACGAATGTGTGTTTTGGTGAAAATTGTAGCTATCAGTTTGTTTATCCAAGTCATTGAGAACCTAAAGAATCTCTATCTTTCACAGAGCAGTTTTTCTCCACTTACCACTTCATTACTTTTGCCATCAACATTGGTGGGAGAAAGGGAAAACAATATAGCTGCTTTGGTCGTAATGGGCGAATTTTTGATCGGAGAATTACGTTCGACTTCGACTATAGATCTTAATGTTTTGAGACCCAAAATTAGAGTGAAATTATGTGCTGCAAAATATATTGGCCAAGCTTGTTTATGCCGTGTACTTATGTCCATTTGGATGTTATATTTGTGCAGGAGTGAATTAAGAGGTTGAGAAAAGATGAAAAGATTATGGTGGGTACTGGGTAGACTGTAGTAACCTATGAGTATGCCTTGTAAAGTGGTTTTGAAGACAGTTTAGCTGTTCAATTAAACACACTTTGTAGCGTTTTGAACACATGTTAGTGCTCAGGAAAAGTTCAGAGAGTAAAAAGTTGAAATATGAAGGGACTTAAAAGAAGGGATATTGCAGTTTGAGCAATTTTTTAAATAGGCGAGTAGATCAAAGCTTCTGCGAGATGTTGCTGAAGTTAAATTCCAATATTTTGCTTATTTCTTTGCTGATTTACTTAGGACTTTGTCCTTCCCTCAATGTAGACTATCATCCACCGTTCATTTAAGTCTTCATTCTTGTTCTTTTGGATCATTAGATTGAGTTCTGAAGGTAAACTATCAACATCAATTTTCTAATTTTTTGAATTTCTGCTCAGGATGCAGCTAAATACCGTGATGAGCTTCAGGAAATTGCTCCCCACTCTCTCTTGAAATGTGCAAGTGATGCAACGACCTTGGTATCAGATTTATACTTGGTTCATGTAGTTCCAATTGAACTTCAAACTAGTCCGTTTTGTTTTCACAATAATCTAACTATTTAACTGCTGGAAACTTTATGTTTATAAATAAAAGTTTCTACACTGATTGATCTTGATTTTTTAGTATTTTTTGTTGGAAAAAAAAAAAACTTAAAAGTAATTTTTTAGGCTTTTGGATGGTGAGGCAAGACATAGGATGTATGTTCGTTTTCAGATAATAAAGCACTCCTATAATTAGATTGAGTAAGATGCAATACAAATAGAAGAGCACAGACTAAGTAATTAGTATTTAATACTAAATAAAACCTATGACTTTTCAGGGAATCAGGGTTCAAGTGAGGAGTGTGTATATAGAGAGCCGGAGTCAGCCGTCAAAGGGGCACTATTTCTTTGCTTATAGAATTCGAATTACCAATAATTCAGAGCGCTCTGTTCAGCTTCTTAGAAGGCACTGGATTATAACTGATGCCAATGGAAAAACTGAGAATGTCTGGTTAGTTACATCTTGTTTTCATTTACATCTGTTTTACCTATATGTATCTTTCAATTTGTTTCAATTTTGTTATTTCCCTTATTGCAGGGGAATTGGTGTTATTGGTGAACAGCCAGTAATACTTCCTCGGGCTAGTTTTGAATACTCATCTGCATGCCCGTTAAGCACTCCCAACGGCAGAATGGTAATATTGGATCATTCAATTTATACATTAATAAAAATGGAAAGACAATTTCGTATTGTTGGATACCCTTCTATGAATGCTGAATTGTCTTTCATGTATTAGTCATGTAGGAAGGGCTGCTTAACAATAAAAATTAAAAGAACTACGGATCCCCGGTATGTCACCTGCGAGTAAGAAATAATGTTTCATTCCCTATAGGAAGAATCTTTAGATTGCCTCGAATGACATATAGATAATAATTATAATGTGTGAAAAGCCACTTAGATATATTTTTGTTGTAGGGAGGTTGTTCCTGTTCACAATAACGAGTCCCTAGAAAATGTGACGTTTCTAAGAATTTGATTTTTGAATCTTTGATTGAAAAGTCAATTTATTTCGCTTGTTTTATTGCAGGAAGGTGATTTTGAGATGAAACAGATCGATAGGGTAGGCTCACAATCTTTCAATGTGGCTATTGCCCCATTTTTACTCTCTATACTTGGAGATGATAGTGATGCGTTTTGAGAACCGAACTGTTTACATCACCTAGGAGAGACAAAGGAATCTCATTCTGATCCAGAAAAGTCTCTAAAAATTAAGTCATTGTTTATATTCTGCAATATGTGTAAAAAATCATTTCTTCTACAGGGATTAGGGTACCACTTGTCGATTATTCTTGTTGGTCTAAATGGAAAATGGTTGAAGTTTTATATGTCAGGAGAAAAATCAACTTGTAAAGAGAACAAATGTATAGCTTTATGCAAGTTTATCTGAATGAAATCCAATTCTATGATTGACATATAAAATAAGCATTAGTAGCCTAGAACTTGGATGAATGTACTGGCAGGACTCAGAAGCCGACTTCTTTACCAAATTTTATATGCCAAAACACGTGGAATATTCCTGACCACACCATAATCTCAGTGTCTTCACTCAAAGCCAGTTATCAGGATGCTTAACCATTCCACACTAGGTGGATGAAATCTGGGACAAGAAGTTGTTGACTTTCTTGGTTGGCTTTCAATCCTCTGTTTCTTGTAACATTTTCTGTCAAAGGACTATAGGGCCCGTTTGTTTCCATTTTCATTTTCATTTTTCACGTTTCTCGAGAAAGAAAAATGAAAACGGGAAATGAAAATGTGTTTGGGAAAAATCTGAATCAAAACCAAAAACAAAAACGTTTTTGTCTTTTCTGAAAAAGTGAAAACGAAATAAACTTGTTTTCATTTTCACGTTTTCAGTTCTGAAAACGGATCCCCCCCGCGACTGCGCCTCCCCCCCGGGCGCCTGCGACTA